CATGCGGCTTCAATGATTTCGCACTTATGCGCGGAGCTGTCGACACTTACTTTATTAAAACGCTTAATTAATTAGGCAGCCAATTAACTTATAGCTGCACACGAGTCGCAGCCCCTGCGGAACCGCCGTCCTCTATATATAGCATCGAAGAAAGAATTTATTCAAATTTCCGATATTCTTTCGGCACCGACTTCTCGTTCGACTATTTATGCGGCCGACGAAGAGTCATCAATTACCTTGCTCATTGTTCCACGACGAGAAATTGATTCTACTATCTCCTGTATCTGCTCTAATAACGGCACGAAAGAACCGCTAACTGATCATCGATAAACTGTATAAATTTTCACTAAGCTATCACGTTCTTTTTCTACTCGTTGCGCTCTTTCGTTACGTATAAATTTATATTTACAAATTATGCAAATTTTTCGAATTTGAAGGCACTTTGACATATTTATTCTTCATTTCGCTCGAATATCATAGACTTTCGACACTTAATTTTCATTTATGTCCGATCTGAGAAAATCTGGGAGAATGAATTTAAAGTGTATCGAGATACGGAGCGACATCGCCAGTCTCTCCTATTCAGAATAAATGATCCGAGCGTCTCGTATCTGCCACATTTTATTCAATAAATAACACTTTCATAAACTCAACGATTTATCGCAGGGCCGGCGGTGACCCCCATGATCCGATACACCATACGTCCGTGATTAATTATCCGATTCATTGTTCCCCGGCGAGAAACTATGCCTGTTATCTAACACATCTGGTCTGATAACGGAACGAAAGGCTTACGGGCCGTCGGTGTATGTGCGCGCGCGTGTACACAGCGACCGCAGTGATAGGCAGATAAATGGACGCTGATAAATGCGCGGGAAAAGGTGGACGAGGGAAAGGTATACGGAACGGAGACACAGGCCCGGTTTATCGGCGAATCGACGTCTGCCACGAAGACGAGGACGACGGAGCGTTTCGCAAGTCGGCGTTACGGCGGTAGCCGGAAAAAGGGAGAAAAACCGCGTAATGATTTTAGCCGGGTGGGAGAATGAGATACGGAGGACTGGTCGGGAGAGTGGATAGGATCTTAAGAACGTGATCTGGGCTAATCCGCTTCTCTCTTTCGCTCCCTCGAGATGGATACGATCGGCGTTAGAGGTTCTCTGAACGCCGTTTCTTGCCTCGCATGTTCACGTGGTTACTCGCTGCAGCGTGTTTAGCAAGTTTTTATGCGGTCGATTGGGAATTGGTTGTCGTGAAAAAATTTTGCGAAGCGGTGACACAGTTTGATTTTAAATCACTCGAAATTAAAAATCGATTCTTCTTAAGAATCGTTTGAATCGGACAGATATATACATCTCTGAGATTTGTAACTCTTCGCAAGTTCTTTGAAAATGTGCAAATTAATAGAGTGTTGATGCACGTTGAAGCAGCAATTCTATAATTAGAAATTGAACAGATGCAAATACTCAAGCACTTACTTTCCGAGCGAATGACGCTAATTGCTTTAATCGCACGGTATCAATAGTATCGATTCAAAGGAAACCTAAATAAGACTGACGTGTAAACTAGGCTAATTCGTCACACTTTTTCTCCCTGAAAATCTGACTTGCATAGTTTCATGTACTTTACACATTCCACAACCTTTTTGCCATATCGATTTATTAATATTTTTTTTCCCCCTTTCCTATGTTCTTGCACGAATATTTCAACACCGAGACAACGATGAACGGTAGCGGTCGGCGTACACTACTCGTGTTCGCGGACGCATTCATGCATGAATAATAGTTACCCGCGCGTTCATCTACTGCATGAGCGGCGTTTTCGATGATGTTGTGTGCGGCGGCGCTTTTCCGCGAAGCTGTATCGCGTGCTAACCAACTACGTGACGGCGGTTAGATCGCCGGGGACCTTGAACGCGATTCGCGCCAGCTTGCCGATGCATAATTTATTTTCATTCGAAAATTCAATATAAAAATGTCGTCGCGAGAAAACGCGAGATGCGAAATAGACGGCGCCCGTCGTTCTTTTCGCTCACGTTTTGCGCGCGCGGCGTCGCGCCTCGTCCGTGAGCTCCCGAATCGACTAGTCCCCTTCTCCTCCGAAATCGCAAAAGCTCCGAGAGGATGCTAACCCGGCATCCCGACGGGATGCGCACCCGGATTTCGAATTCACGTCGTGTACACGCGCTTCCCTCCCGCGACTTTCGAATCTCGCTTCGACGTGTTCGCATTCCCGGGGCCAATGAGGAGAGATCGGGCACGTTAGCCGCGGCGAGGAGGAAGAAAAAGGAAGCACCACGCCCAAGGTACGTGGCAGGAACGCAGACGGGCGTGTTGGTGCCCACGTCCCTATGTATACATCTGCGCGAGCGAGCGGGAGCGTGTGCTCGTGTACTTCGCGTGTGCAAGTACTCCCTGTTCCTTTCCCCCTTTTCCCCCCTTCTCGTTCCCCACCATTCTCGTCCCTCGGCTCCCCTCTGACCCCCGCGGACCCCCCTCGCGTATCTCGTGTACACCGGCGGCACGAACGCTACCACGTCCTCAAATTGAAGCCTCGGAGAGAAAAAGAGATGCGTGGCCTCACCTCGATCCTCACCGCTCCTCCTTTCCCCCCTTCCCGCCGCTCTTTCTCTCTTGCTCATCTGAGGCCGAAGGAAAAGAGGAAGAGGAGGAGGAGAATGGGGAGAGCCGGTGGGGAAATGCGAGGGGAGACCGCCGGGGGGGAACCGACGAGGCTGTCGTAGCGCGGCGCGGTGAGGAGGGAACGGAGGGAAGAGGAGAAGATGGAAGAGTCTGAAGGCTAAGGCGCCATGTTGGTGGCGATGACAAGAAAGCCAGCGCACGACGGTAGCAGGGCCAAGAGTGCAGAGGCAGAGGCGCTTGGTCGAACGCCTTGATTGGGCGATTACGGATTATGCACGGTGCCTGCTGAAGAGCTGCACCGATCGCGCGCGGCGAACATTCTGCGTTACGTTGGCGCGGAGATGTCTGCCAAAGATGTAAGTCACTCTCTCTATTTTTTTTTTTCTTTCCAGAAGCCTAAAGAAAGTTCACCGTTTAGTGTCTAGTGTAAAATTCAATTGCTTTTTACAGATTTTTAATGTCGCGTAAAAAAAAAAAAAAACTAACTCGATACTTAACTCTTATGATATTGAATATATGCTACATATTTTCGTGTCCATCAATTTAAATTTGTCAAAGGGATTAAATGAGCGAGGTGCCTTGATGGAGTCGTGAAGAATGTAACAAATAATTTGCGCAGACAAGTCATGATTTAATTTTCCGCTTCTAATCGCGGCTATTGTTGATTCCGAACGGCAATGTTTACTAAACAACTCGACGCCGGCCGCTCATCAGGTTGCATCGCGCTCGATTCATCGCGCTCACGGGGGGGAGAACAACTCCCGCGGTGCTCCGACTAATGAAATTATCCGGTCCGGGACCCCCTGCAACGACATCAACCAGCTACGACAGCCAGTTATCCCGTGATTACGCGATACGCAGTTACGCGCTGCGCCATACGCGCCATGACGTTCATACGCTTCTTCGAGGGGTGAGGAATGCACAAAGAGCAACCGCGAAAATTGCCCCATCTCGTCTCGCATCAGTCAATGAAACACATAATTTCGCATGAAGAAACTTGTAATCCCATCAGACCGCAAATTGATCGCGAAAAAGCATTTAGGCGGTTGAGTTTAGTGAAGTCACTTGCTAATAAATCGGCAATGCGATATGCGTGTCCATCCGAGCACAATTCGGATTGTCCGTCGCGAAATCGTCGCAATTAGCCTCGGATTTTTCGTCAATAAATCGTCATGCTTTAAGAAATCTTTAACGGACAAGATCAGATCCAATTATCCGCTCTCCGATTATGTAGCTCGCTCTTCCTAATAAATCGTTAATTGGAAACCGCGCGACGGATAATTGGCGGAAAATCTTTCGCCGGTGTGCGCGCGTGAAGCCGCGTGGAAAGCTCCGCGCGCAAAACTCGCGCGCGATCGCCGGGGGAAAATTTATGGCCGCCTCGTTAGTCCGCAAACTTGTCTCTTTCGTTCTCTTTCCCTCACTCGGCAGCACTGGACACTGGCGGCAACCCTATCCCCGATGTCCAGGGCGTGGCGAATCGGTGATTTAGTAAAGTCATTTGTGCCGATAATGCTGACAGATGCCGTTTATCGAGGTTCCTGTTACCCTGAGACCGAGTATGCAACTGGATCCATCCGCGCGATCCGTCCGTCGCGAAAAGAAGCGTCACAATGTCGTTTCGATAAAATCAGAATTTTAATTATGACGCGAGTAATGAGGAATTCTAATTATGATGCGAGAGATCCCCGTAATTAACAAGGCATAACCGGCTTCCATACGACGCGTTGTTGTTCACTCGTTTGAGACCGGCAGAATTCACTCGTTTACACGACTTCGAAGGGTCTTTTTCCATTTGATATATTTCTTGATAAGGCATATCGGGAGCGAAAAACCTGTTTTGCTCGTGAAAACGTCGCAAACATTTTATCATTCTGTGTTGGAAACGTATTACTAACGCGATACTATGCGAACTAAAACTCAGATAAGTTCTAGGCGAAATGCGTACGAAGAAAAATTTCCTTTTTAAAAATCATAAAATACGTATTGCATTGTAGTTTTTATTTCAGCACACATCACGATAAATACTCTGAATATTCTAATAAGAGTTTTCAAGAGTTTTTTAATATTTTAAATTAAAATATTAAAAATTATATAAAACGTAATTTATCCAATAAACGTCAATAATTATTGTCGCGTCAATACTAACATCATTCGAATATCTAGAAACTGAGTAATTTACGCAAATAAGCGATGTTTGAAACGCTTTACATGTTCGTCTTGTCATCATATCATAATTTATGCCATTCCATCGCGAATTGCACGAGATAAGAGCTATTTATCGTTGTGTGTTGTGGCGTGAAAAACTTGCGCTATAGTGTACTAGTTTATTTACTCTTAAAACTCGACAGAACTGACCTGTGTTTGCGTGAGTCCGAGGCTGGCCGCGAGCTCCGCTCTTTCCGGTAGCGCGAGGTACTGCGTTCTCTGGAACCGCCTGTTGAGCTGCTGCAATTGCAGGCTGCTGTAGATCGTCCTTGGTTTCCTCATCTTCTTGCCCTTGCCGTTCCTGAGGGAACCGCCGCCACCGCCGCCGAGCTCGTCGACGAGGCTGCTGCTTTTATCACCCAATGGCGAGAGGTCTGCGAACATGCACCACCCTAACATCAACTTTCAGAATCCTCATCACTGCTCGTGTACAAACTAAAAATAAAATTAAACTAAAACCTAACACTTCTTCTTGTAACATTTCCCCGATATTCAACCGCTCGCGATTTTACGATTGATACGATTTAATTTTCCAAATAGTAAGAAACTTACTGTAACAAGAGAAATTTTAAGAAAAAAAGGTTTATTTTGTACTAGCAAACACACAATGATTATTTAATAAATTTATATAAGAAAAATTATTTCATATGTAGATAAGAAAAGGAACACCTCGAAGAAAAAGAAACATGTTGCTATTAATTTTTTTTTACATTTGAGCTTTAGTTTTTTTTCTTCGCGATAAAATATTATGTTATTCAATTAATTATACCTTTTGATCGACAGGCTCTTATGCCGGAATCGCGTAAAAAAGTAAGAAGTGTTTACTGAAGCACTCGAAGAGTTTCATCGAATCGAAATCAACGGAAATGACACGTCGCTTTTTCGAAAAGCAAAGAGAGCGAGAGGGGAAACAATAGCACAAACACTGCCGGAATATTTTATTCGACAAGCCGCGCGTAATTATCTGATAAAATAAATGCATTATTCAATTCGCATACACAACGTATTGCGATAATTAGCACAATGAACAGAATGCGTGCCCTCGTTACGCCGAAAGAGAGAAAGAGAGAGAAAGAGAGAAAGCCCTACGGTGCGTTAACGGCGCGGTAATTAATTACGGAGCCATATATCAATCTTAAAGCGATGCAATGAAGTAGCATAGAGCTCGATAGAGCCGCGCATCGTGCCAGCGCCCGCGCCGCCTATCTCGCGCGGAATCTGTTTCATTATTTTTATATCGCGATTACGATGTTGCGTGTTTTCATCGGGGAGACGCGCGCGCGTCCTTCCCGGGAGAACCACGGACACATTTTTTACGGTAGGCGCGTTTTGTCCAACGATTTTCAACGCGCGAACGGCGGACGAAACGCCGTCGCTGAACGACTAATTGACCGCGGCAAAAGTGCAGAGATATCGACACCGAGACTTTGAATCAGCGTGAGCCGGCCGAGTGTGCCTCGTTTGTTCACCTTCTCCGTGACAATTAGCACGACTATTAATTAGCGTAATTTATGGCGAGCTCGTGTGACTCTTCGTGATTTATACATGAGCGTGTCGCCTCGAATGAGAGAGGATCGAAAAGACGCGGATCGATGGTGAGCCAACAGGGGAGACTTTAATCGCGCGTGAAACAGATAATAACGATCCCCCGCACACTTTCCGCGAGCTTACGTCGCGTCACGGCGATGCAATCGCGTGTTTGCGCCCGTGTTTACCTACCCGTGCAATTTCGCGGCGATACCGGGCGTGTGCGATCTTTAATATTGGCATAGATGTCCTCAACACTTTGACGGCGCAGGGTTGTGATAAAGTGGAGAGTGGATTGCGATGTTAATATATTAATCAAGTAAACTCTTTGTTTGCGGTGAATGAAAATTAATAAGACTGTCTCAATATTAATAACCATGATCTTATCCTCATATCGCCTTTATAAATAATGTACATTTATTATACCGCTCGCATAATGAATATAAATAGAATGAATTATAAAAATTGTTTGATAGGAAAAGATAGGAGCAATAAAATACCTAATTTTTAATATAACGCACAAACATCTTGATCAGCTTTTTCATCCGCACCGCTCGCGGTGCGACAGTTAACACCGTCGCACGGCGTATCGACACGTAACATAGTACGCAATAAATTTTATAGAGGCGTTAGCAGCGATTACGAGCTCCCGTTGTTAATTATAGCCGGTTAAGGCGACGCGATGTCGACCGGGGCGGAGTGCAACCCTGCGCGCGCGCGTGAAAAGACCGAGGTACTGTTTTATGGATGCACTTTTCTCTCGCTGAGAGCTCACGCTGTGCGAGGGGTGGAATAGAGAGGATAGCTTATGGTTGTTAACACTGAGGCGTATGCAAAGCCGTCCGGCCGCGGCAGAAACTGCCGCAAAGTGCTACTTTGCGGCGCTGCACGCGCGTATTCAGCCGCCTCGCATCGCTGAAGGTCCTTACGGAGTCGCGTAATCAAATCCAACCGAACGTATGATAATAAGCCCGGCGATTAATGCGACGTTGATAATCACACGGTAGGCGCGCGGCTCTCAATCTGGAGAACTCGAAATTACAAGGTGTCCGTCTCTGCCCTAGGCCGGACTTAACACAACCTGTCTAACATTGTCGCTGAATCGACATCTTGTATTTCCACATCGCTACCATATTGCGCGCGAGGAATGATGGAAAAGCCCCTCCCATTTTTTGTACTCCGGATTAAACAGAAACGGAAACGTTCAATTTTCTCGCTCAAAGATTGCGATTAGGAAATTTCTGACTATTCAGATGAATTATTTAACTCATAATTTCCAAATGTTATAAATTATTTTGTTATACTTTATCACACATTCGCGTTCACTTCTGTTTACGTTAAAAGTGTCTTTTGTTGAGCAAACTAGATGGAAAAATTAATTAAAGTCCTGAAATCTTTTCTCATCGTGAAAATTAATTTTTCTTTCGTAATAATATGTATTAGAATATTGTTCAGGTATACGCAAGACATATTTTAACGAAACATATTTGTTAAAGTTCTCAAATATCTCAACGATTGCTGCTATTTCCGAAATTCTGGCGCAGCGACTACAGAACTAACAATCGTTGATATCTGCCCGTGTATCTCCAAAGAAAACACGACTTCCACACAAATCCGTGCGGTCCAGCGTAAGTCCGAGGTTCGGCGGGGCTTCAAAAAAGGCCAGGCAAAGCGGTGCACCTACCTAATCCTTGTGAAAACAACCATTTAATACCTAATTCATCATTCGGACCCGAGGCGCGCATTGTCTTTCGACCGTTCCGGATTAAGTCGGACGGCGGTCGGACGTCAGGTCAGGTGACTGATGCGAGATACCGTGGGGGCCCTGTCTCATACGAGAGGAGCCCCCGCTAATTGGATTCCAGCTTTAGCCACGTTCGTTCGAGAAGAAGGACAACGGGTGTGAGGCAGACGTGCGGCGACGAGCTGGTTAATGGCCGGTTCATTTGTCGCGACGATAAGATTGGACGAGGGTGCGCTTTGTAAGACGCCGTGCACACTCGATCTCGACGAGCTGCGTCCGCGCGGACGACCCCGTCTTCACGTTCTCGTCATTGATGCTCGTATAATCCCGGACAACTTCATTAGCGTTGCTCGAACTGCAGTCTACGAGCATTTAACGCCGCGAGTAATCGCGATAAGCGCGGCGTCGTCGCCGAAGCGCGGCTGCGCAACCAACACCAAAACAACACGCGTAATTGCAACGTTGTAATCACGAATTTACGTGCGTTAATTGCAAACAGCCACACAGCGAAGCGTAGCTTCATCGAAAATACGACTGTGCAAAACAAACTTGTGCGCGGCAAAAAGTTCGCTGATGACATTTTCGACGACAGATGATATCTCAATTGCTAGATAATTAGTGCTAATGTTCACTTAGCATCGCGAACTTTATGTAAGTTTATTTTAAACGTTACGATTACAACGATTAATTCCGCAAGCCCTAAATTGTGAAAAATAGACCATTTTTGCGAGAGATAACATTTTATTAGCTAAACACTTGCGCAAAATTTATTTAGCAGTTTGAATTCTCACAAGTTTCATTTATTTGCTGTTGTAGGAAACGTAGATAATTTTTGATCTTCAAGAATAATAGTTTATTGAGTTTTGCTTTTATATTTGTGGAATGCTTTCGACTTATGTCCCTTAATTTTATTAGAAACATTGTCAAAAAATGTGACATTTATGCAATTTGACAAAATAATGATTGAATAATATTTTCATTTCTATCCTGTTCATTTTTATCCTTGATTTTAACATTCATACAACTGTTTTTTCAACTAAATTTTATGCAATTATATAACAAACTGTGAGTATTGCTGCAAATCGATCGCATGAGAGTGCGCGTTTCCTACAATACGCATTGTGAACCTCGTGCAATTACCGCGTCACTGTTATTTTAATCGGATAATCAAAATCGTTCTGAAATAATCGCAAGTTAACTTTGCGCGTCGCGTTCAGCTAGCCAAGTGGCGGAATCGCTCTATCCTCTGAACGGAGTGCACAAACAATAGCGTGTTCATTAGCAATTAAATGGATCGCGATTCTAATTTATCATTCGATTAATTAAATCGGAGCGGTTAACGTCGTGCAGCAATTTTTGCGATATCGACTTTTGCATTATGCTACTCGTTCGCGTACACCGCCTGCGGACGAATGTGACAAGTTTTAACAAGTATCGTACTCGAGTATTGCAACGGTGTATAACCTGTCCTCCTCCATCGGAACCTCGGCAAAGCTGTTGTGTAAGAATACCGAAGTTATGTCAACCGTATGATAAAATTTTTACGCAGCTTGCGAAACGGACCGAGGGTATGCATTTCGTTGCCATGCGATTTGTGAAAAGCGAACTGCGCATAAGTTGCGAAGGGAAATGATCGGCAATTTAAAAGGGCAAAACGCGTACAGGTTTACGTGCGCAACCCCTCCGTGCGTGAGAATTCAACCCTCTGACGAGCGATTGCTCGCCCGCTTGCTTGCACTCCAGCTGCGAGCGGAAATCATAATATTATATATATTGTACGATTGCACCGCGCGGACCTCGCGAATTCCTCCCGCCCGATGGAAAAAAAAGTTTTTCCGCGGCGAACCCTTTCGCGGGTTGAGGGCTCGCCGGCAATTTTCGAAAGAGGCGCCACGAAAATTGCATTGCACGCCGGCGCGAGGGTCGTCTCGGTGGATTACGCAGAAATACCGGACTTCCAGGGAGATTGCCACATGCCGCGGAGGTGGACGTTACGAATTCATGGCGCGCGAATGGAGGGTAGCAAACTGTCGCCGCTATCCGGTTGGCTATGTTCCTGCGAACGTTCGCCTAAGCGCGCCAAACGGAATTTCTCGTTGTTCCACGCTACGCGCGCACGTCCGTCGTAATGAATTATTCGCCGAATGTTACCACAGCTTCGGAATATTTCCAGCCGGTATATCACGGACTATATTTGAAAATGCAATCGACCAAGAAAGCAGCGCGAATGTCGCTGCATGGAGCCTCACGGCATGCGGACTTACCTCGGGCGAAATAAGTTATCTCGATCACGCGATTTCGCGATGCGGATGTGTATATAGACATCGTGTTTAGACCACTGCGCCAGATATATTCGTGAATAAATAAAGCAGAAATATCAATGAAATAATAAAACGACATTGCGACATTATCGATTTCTAAATTAATTGTGCGTTTATTCGTTCATTGTGACGTTCATTTTCTCACCGCGCGATAAACTTGGAATAATTATTCCTAAATAATCAATTATTTGAAAAAAAATTTTAAACTGTTATAATATCTCATAACACCTTCAGCGCAATTGTGCGATCCGCGACGAACTAGGGGCGAAGCCGATAGTGATCGCAATTAGCTGACTCGTGGTTTCGCGCGCGAGACAAAAATCGCGATTACATCGTGCTAATGCGAGTCTAGGAGGTAAAAACATAAGAGAAAAAACGAAATAATCTGGAGGAAACCTCTATAAGCGAGAGCTTCCAAAGGAGAAACCGCGACAGCTCCCGTTTGGTCCTGAATCTTTTTGTCCCAGTCGCTTTGCGGAACTTTTTCGGCCCCCGAGCGAATGCCATGTCATATATCTTATTTCGTTTCGTGGCATTGTGCTGTAACGCAGGGCGTCAACCGGCTATTACTACCTGCTACTCTAGACCTCATCTTTTGGTTTCTTAACCTTTATTCTATTTTCGAGAGTCTCCGTTTGAATAATAATATGTCTAGTTGTGAATCAAAATTCCGTCAATTGCCCACTATTCGTGAACAAAAGTCTAAGAAATGATTATAAATGTAAAAAAGAAGAGAAAGTTGTAAGCAAATTTATCTATTGCATTCAGCTTAAGAATGCTAAACATTTTTTTCCTTTTGTTCGGTTTATCCGCATCTTTAGGACGGAAGACAAGGATTACGTGAGACAGAAACTTTTCAGAAAGTGTCGCATGCGAAAAGCAACGATGCGAACGAGCGCGCCTCGGCGCCTCGGCGATATAAAGGTGAGCTGAAGGAACCACGAACCGGGAACCGAGTGAGTGAGTCGCAGCGAGCACAGTCGGTTTCCTTTTTACGCGTGAAACAACAGCATCTGATTGCGCGTCGCGAAGGCATTAGCGTTCCGCATTTATTGTCGCGCGGAAATTTACCAACGCGGATGAAGACATTCGCCAAGCGGCAATATACTCCTATGACTATATAATAAAGTCGTAATAATAAAGCGCACACACTAAGATGATGACCCACCGGAAACGCCTGTCGCCGTCTTATTTCTTTTTCGTGTCAAGGTAGCCGTATCATTCTTGACAAATGTTACATCGCTGGCACGATACTCGTCTTCACGACTCCGAAGCCGTGAAAGTTAACGCATCGATGATAAATAACCTCGAGAAATCTCTTAATTTATTTATCTATATCTAAATTAAAAAAGGCTCAAAGTGAATATTCGAGGTAAGTTCGAAGAAATTCGAATTCATTAATCGTTCGATTTTTAAGGTACCGTTAATTTTGCGACAACGCGCAATAACATTCGCGTAGAAGCACTTTCACTTTGAGCCCTTCGATGATATCTCCGTTCCATGACAGCACTTCGCACTTCCACGGCTCGCACTCGCGCAAACTTTATACCGAGATTGACCGTATAACGATTCACAGCGACGAGCGCAAAATGAATTTCGCTGTTTCACAATTTTTTTCACGATTCAACTGCGTCGACGTGAAGCACTGGGGCGTTCGAGCCGGCGGCGCCAAGCGCACGGAACGGAGAGTTATCGTTTCGGCTTAGCTAAATATATATCTAAAAGTAATGAGAATAAAAAAGGCTGCGAATACATACAGTTGGGGTACTCACCGTCCTTGGGCGGCGAGGGGCACTGGGGGGCGTACGATCCCAGATGATATCCATAGGCGTTGTGTTGATGCATGGACGCGAACGGATATCCGGCGAGCGCGGATCTGGGACTGGGAAAGCCCGCGTCCGCGTGCTGTTGATTCCCGCTGCCGGGCCCGGAGCCTTGATGCGCCGCTAGCGAGCCGACCTGATGCGAGAATTGGTGCGCGCCGGGCACGTTGTGTCCGCCCGGGTAGCCGCTTCGCAAACTCGCGGGATTGTAGAGGTTGTTGTGCTGCAGCTCGATGAAGGCGGACTTGCCGCTCTGCGAGACCGGCGTGCTGGACGTCGTGCTGTCGCCGCCGTTACCGCCCGGCGGACCGGGCGTCACCGAGCCGAGGCCCGCGTGATGAAGATGCTGCTCCATGTCGGAACCGCCGCCTCCGGTACCGGCGGCACCGCCGCCGCCGCCGCCGCCGCCGCCGCCGCCGGTCGGTCCGCCACCGCCCGACATGCTATTCGGGGTCGGGGTACTCGACGGACAGGGGTCGCCCGCCCCGAATGGGCTCCCCAGATCCGTGAAATTGAGCGTCGTCGTGCTGCCCGGACGCTCCACCTTAGACACGACGTCGATGCCGCCGCCACAGCCCCACGATCCTCGCCGCCGCCAAACTCGCCGACGACGTGGTCGCCGCGCGCCCTCCGTACGGGGCCCGAATCTTGGGATAGGCCTCTTTACGATGAGCACAACGCGCGTGCCCCGTCGAAAAAAAAACTATGTCGACCGAGTATCAGAACAAGCGCGATGAGTCGTCATTGAATCGCGACGGTCTGAACTTATCCGACGGATGCAGTTTTTCCAGCACACGGTTGGCAGCCTTGGAAGTTACGTGACGCAGAAAGAAAATAATGCGTTCGCAACACTTTCGTCAAGCCGCACTGTCACGATATTTTGTTCTTTTTCTCACTGTGATCTCTGGAACATTCACACTTTCAGTTGTTTCGTAGTAGTCTCCGTTTCACGTATCCGTCGGATGTTTGCTCGGATGTTTATGTTTTTCTTGTTTCTCAGTTCGGACACCACTTGTCACACATCCACTGCACACGCGTAACCGTATCGCGGAAACACTGTATCAGGATCAGAGTCCGCGTCGATACTACTGTCCGGTTGCCGTGCGTCAGCTCGTCGTCGCTCGGCTGCCAAACGGAGACGCGCCGCGACGACGTGACCAAGCCGTCGGCATATCGGTCCTCACTCGCCTTACAACCGCGCGCACCCGTCGCGAAACGTCACTAAATCACTTGGAAACACAGTCTTGACTTGTAGACAAGCGAGCGTCGAATGTCACTAAACACCGTTGCGCCGATAGTCCGCGATCATCCGCGCCGCGAATGGCTGCGCGACGATGGCAAAAATTCTCGATCCGCTCCGTCGATGCTGCGGTACTCTCAACACTCGCGCCCGTGTCACCGATTTAATTGCACGTCGTACGAACGCGACACACGCGCGCGCCCGCGCACCTCCTCGGCGACGGTGTGCTTTTTACACGCGTCGTGCCACGATTACCTGGCCGATGAGCGTATCGCGCACCGCTCGATGTATACGCGGACGCGTACCGACCGTGCGAAGAAGGGAAGAAGAAGAAGACGACGACCAGGGCGTAGAAGAAGAGAGAAAAGCACACACGCGCGCCTGGTTCCAGTAACTGCAGTGCACACCGCGCGGCGCGGACCGGTATAATGATACATAATGAAGTCGGAGCCTCTCCCCGGAGCCCGGTTTCTGAAAGTCGCTGCAGTGGCGCCGCTCAACGCCACGCCTATGGAGGGTACCAGGCACGTACGCGATTGGCGAGTCGCCCTGCTCCCCACCAGAAGTACACCAAGTCCGAGATGGCGATTGGCATCGCGGAGGCCATTATGGTATCCACATGGGTGTTGCTCAAGTACAACCGCGCCCACGTCTACCCACGTCGTCCTCGGGACGACCGACGACGCGGAGGTGTTCTGTATACCTGCCCGGGGAAGTCCGTTCGTCGCGCGTATTAGGTCCGACTGACATCGTCGGGGGTATATCTCGAAGAAGGCGAGAGAGCTAACGTGCGCCGCAGAATTGCATCTGTTATTCTTTCCGACTTGCTTGATTCATTCGATAAATCGCGCTATCAGACTTACTGTGACAGGAGGTGAGAGAGATTCAAATGAGTGACATTCCAATTGTTGACCGCTTGACGTTTCGATTGTCGAGAGTTGAGTTGAGTTTAGATGAGCTGTTTGTTCGTGGTTAATTTTTTTCAAGCTGATAGCCATGGATACGGAGATTCTGCTTCCCTTGGAATATATCTTTTTTTAGTGATATTGTTCGTCACTGCAGCAGTAACGCATAATTCCATTTAGATTTGCTCTATTTAGATATTTTCTGGTGTCGTAATTTATTAGACTTGAAATTCAGTGTCTCGAAGAAGGTGAAATTCTTCTTTTTCCCCAAAAATTCAATTAGCATTCAGTTTCTGAAAATATAGATACAGTTGACAGTTAAGATATAATTTTGGCACAGAAAAACTTGACAAATTATCATTTTCGAGAGATACTTGTTATATGCAATAATCAAATCCGCTGATATGTTGCTCTTTTTAAATTAACGACGCATTTGTCTGACGAGTATCGATATGTAGAATAATCAGTCTGTCGAAGCAAATTGTGTTAGCATACATATTATTTTTTATATCCTTTGATCTGAATTGCAACTGTCAATAATTCGTTACGCGCCTCGCAAGAAATTGCATTAATTTCTAGGAATTGTGCCATTTGTACTTGACACGTAGACGTATTTGCGCATAGAGTACAACATTGCTAACTATACTTATCACCGTTACATGTCAAATGTTCGAATGAACTCGATTCATCGAAAAAATAGTTCATATTTCTGATTATTCATCAGCGTAATGATAAATAAAACGTCGGACATATGTCAAATTGACACACCGATGTTATTAAAATCAAAACTAGTCATGCACTATATTAATATTCCGATAGCTCGTAGCTTGTGACACCTATTCGACTTGCAACGTGATTCATCTTTCACGTCGAAGCAGAATGATCATTAAAATTGTGCTATGCAAATTCTGCTTTACGTATCCTATCAGCCAGTCGCGCAAACGTTGTCGCCGACACTTTGGCAGCAAAGGACATCCTTGGCTCCGCCCATTAATTCGCCGCGAAGGGAATGGATTCACGGTAGACGAAGGTGAAGATGCACGAACAGCGCGATATTCTTTGCTTTCTTCTTTCTTTTTTGATGTATGTTATAATTTTATCGATAACGAGTTCGGCGAGAGTGAATTCCTCAGCGTCAATAAAATCGAGAAAGTAATTCTTGTTAATTACAAGATTCCCGGTACGAATAATCGTTGCAATAAGTACGCGTCAATGATGCATGCATTAATGATACTTGAATGTACCGATAAATGTTCTTTTTTATGAACTCTACGATATACAAATCCACGCAACCGAATATAAAACCGCTATAAAAAAATATTGCTAGAGTTCATTACATTTTTTTTTTTTAAATTCTTGGATGGACTCAGCGACTGTCTCTTGAGAAAACTTGGTTTACAAATAAAATCTATAATATTTCTTAAATATTATAAATAATGTGATGAAAATTCCATATGAAGAATGTCAGTAAAAAAATTGCAGCTGTCATTGCGCAAAGATCATTTGTCTCGCATTCTATTAACCTGATTGAATTTTTATCGGATAATTTGGCGTCGCGAATGTATGCGGCGTGGAGTAATTTCAGCGTGGAGTGAAGTTTGTAATGAGGTAGACCTTTTTCCCGATAGTATCTGCGAAAGCGTCGTCGTGGTAATCGGGTGAACGGGCAAAGATAGATCAGATCCTGTTCGCGGATAATCTCGATTCGCATTCATTGACTGTCAATATCGTATATAACCAGTACAACTAATTTAATGCAAATTATTTCATAATATATTATTTCTTCGCCTCTTTAATTGTAATTGAAATAAATGACTTTTGATTACGCATGTCTCATTAATATTATTTCTTCTTCACGAATGATTGATGACAAATGAAAGCTAAACTATGAATTATCGGTAATTTTTCGTTATAAATATTTCTCTTTCTTTATATTAATATATTAATTATATTTTTGTGAAATTTCAGTCATAAAATTTGTATGTGTAAAACAAATCTAATTTCTAACAATTTATATTATCTTTACATTATTAGAATCAATTTCACAATTTTATAAATGATTTTAATAAGTATATAATAATTTTTTTTACTTATTAAACACAAATGTGAATAAATATAAATTTTCTTGATAACGTAAAATCTGTTTAAAATTTAAAAATTTTAGAAATATTGCACATAATACAAAAAAGTTAACATAGGAACTTGTTGATCGTTTTGCCGTCGTAGCACAGTGACCTAGAGACATTTCTTTCTGGTTTATAATTATGCTTAATCAGTCAGAGCGCGCACAATTACTGCCTTTAGTGGTTATCTACAATGATATTAGTTGCTAGATAATATCCCATCCATTAAAATTGCGTCACGTTTCGCCGGTGTATGGGCTCGATGCTTCAATTACGCGAGCACTCATTTTCGATACATTTAAGAACGTAACATTAATTACACAACTTTATCAATGATAAGTAATTGTCCATACGAATATTGAAGATAATATGAATATTTTTAGATATCTTTTTAAAAAATGGTTACACAACATTTTTGTATAAAGAATTTAAAAAGATAATTGTCTACCTATACTTAAGCGTAACAGTAATAAATATTAACGGCATCTTTACGTTTAGATTTTGATTAATTATTTAAACAGATAGCAAATTTATAATGTGTTGTGAAAATAATTAATCTCAATATTGGGTAATATGAAGTTTCTAACACGTATAAAAATTTATATAAAATTCTATTTTGTGTTATATAATAGATAATAGCGTTTCAATGCAGCAGAGTTTCAACGTCAATCTGAAATATTTATAAATTCTTTTTTCTTATTGCATGCAACTGTTATACAATTGTATGCTCGCTAAAAGCTATCCCATCAAAAATATCATATAAAATAATATCTATATTTGAATACAGAAAATATATACACACAAATGTTGAAATTTTTCCTACATACATCGTGAATAAAAGTATTTTTCTGCAAACTTGCGAAAATCGAGTTAAAACTGTTTTTCATGCTTTTATATAAATGCGACAAATATTTACAGAAGAATGTTACAAATTGTTGCAGCGTAGAAAAAATTGTTTAATTTTTTTCTTAACACGGGGACCGATAATGGTGTTGGTTTTTAGAAATCCTTTTTGCATTATTTAAAAACTTTTCAGTCAAAAATTAAAAATATCGACAACCACCCGGTTTCTAAAGATTAATGTCGTCGGAGCCTGCAAAAGTGTGGACACAAAGTACAAGGATGGCACGGGGTTCGAATTTCCTTACGTGCCCTGGACGAAATCACTTCCCTCTTCGTAATACCGGTGTACTGATGCGCCCGCGGGAACGGCACTAGGCCAAAAGAGCGTGGCACGCTCTTATGGCGCGAAATTACATTGGGGGCTAATTGCACGGCGGCGGTAGCGCAAACACGTGTCATCAGTCGACCGCCACCACCATCACCACCACCACTACCACCATGGGCTGCGCCATCACCATGCGATGCTCATGGTGGATAGCTGCCCGGCCGGTTGTGTACGGTGAATTACGTAATTGAGGTAAATGGCGGCTATCCAGAGTGCGGGGAACTGTGCTAAATAAAATGCCATTCAATTAGACGACGAGAGGACTGCGTCGGCGGTGCCCGATGTTGTTTCGTCCGTTTCGCCGGGGCTTTCCTAAAGCGGATGACTCGTCACCGCTCGAAGCAATGCGCTTTAAAAAATATGCGTCTGATCCTTTGATAATTCTAATTGACGGTATATTACGAGTTTTGCCGCTTATATAATAACACATCGTACAATTAGGTTGACTCATTATTTCACGATAAATCTCTGGAAACAAGTTTTTTTTTATTACAATAACTCTGTGCTGAGTTTACTTATGTACGAAATCAATATATTGGTAAAAACGACATTGATACTAAACAATCTAAACGCAAAGTGAAATTTTGCTTTAAAGTTCCATCCGGAGAAGGAAATATTTGACGAAGGAAATTTTTAAGAGAAGCACGCTGTACACAAATGGTGACGAACAAACAAACAAGAGACACATTTCATCTCGCTGTCCGGAATTTGTAATGTCATACGGTGTGGCGTCAATAAGAAAATATCTCATGAAAAGCGTTCGTAACTCGAGTAGTTTTGTGAAGAAAAAAGAAAGAGTAATGCCAAACGCGATGTGGAAACTTATGGACAAATTGCGGTGCAAAGTGGCATTTTGATTTCTTGTTGCCCGACGTTTCTCTGTCAAATCAAAAGGACGTAAAAATACTTGCAGATTATAGTGCTAAGTGGCACTTTTATCACTCGCTGTAATTGCGCTTGCATCTCGCGAGAACTTTCTCCTCGCTCGTAGTTTCGCAGATTCCGTGACCGTCGATCGGTGCACCGCTTACCGTACTTCGGCATTCTTTTTTTCGCCGTCCTATATGTCCGGTAATGATGGTTTGAATACTTGTCACGCTTAAGTACGGTGTACCCCGATCGCACGAGACGTAACCCATTTAGGAGATACCGAAACTCTTTCATTACCGCATAATTTCCCATTTTTGTTACACCCATCTCAAAATATTGCAAATTTATCACATTTTATTATCCCTCGTTAAAATTTCTTATTATACTCTCGAAACATTATTCATTGAAATATTCTTATATCTTACAACCGGCAGAATACTATCAATGACGCTATACACGCATCCTGCAAACGCTCTCGCTGCCTCGTCCATTACCGGGTGTTGTACAATTTAATCTTTTTATGCACGATTGAATCGCATCGCGCTTTGCTCGCATGCATCATGCATTTTCCATCACGTGCGTCTAACAACGGCGCATAATATTCAGGCGGTCGACGCTTAAGGTTGCGCGCGTATCTACACTGTGCAAAGGTGCTACGTCGTGGAAAAAACAGAGAAGCAGGAAAGACGGGCGGGGGAATGCGAGAGTGGCGGGTCTTGGAGAGTTTCTCGATGCCCGGAGCAGTGACAAGCTCGGATCATAATTTTCGTACTTTACTACCCGGCAGTAAAAGCCGGAGTATGGGTGGGCGTCACCCGCAAACATTGTGTTTGACCGTGTTCTACACGGCATTATCGTTCGCTCTAACGTCCGAAAGCGTCTCTCTATTTTTAGCACGGGCCACGAAATCCACCTACCGCGCCCCTGCCGTTTCACTGGAAACACTTTTTAAGGATCGTCGGAGGAATCGATTCTTTATTGATCCGAGATCGACGGGCGCACGCGCGCGCATTTTTTCGGAACACCCTGTGTGTATCGCGCGTATCCGTTTATGCGGGCTCGAAATTACAGA